CTCCCTTAGAATAGCAACTTGCAAACTATCCTGTATCTGCAGCAAACGAAAGGAATAGAACACTATGATTAGGTTTATCACAAACTCAATGCCCATCAATCCCATTACGAACCTCACTGGCCACCATATGAATCGTTGGTAGATGCAATGCTTACATGCTACAGTAAGCGATCCTCACACGTCAAATCAATATTAGGGACCTCAATCTTTAAACTCTTAACAATAAACCGAAACCCAAAATCAAAAGATTTAATGCAAGGAATGAACTTCTCATATATACAGAGATCCATTGTGAGTTCAGACCTTTACTTCCCCTGTTTCACTAAACATCCTTGAAACCAAGATCCAGACCCCAAATCGAGTCACTTTAACAAACTGGATTGAGTTAAATTTCTCATCCCCATTGAAACACCAACATGCAATACAACGAAAAATCAAAAGCAAGATGAATCATACCTCCACTGAAAACCTCAATGATATTGTCTCAAGAGTGTCGGTCGCAAACAAAAGTATATCTTCCCTCCTTCGTCGCTGGTCGATGTCCGCCCTTCGATATTTCTACTCGTCGCAAAACCTCCATCTTTCTATTTCCCATCTACTGACGTCTCTAGCATCTCCATCTTCGTCATCAGTACCTACCTAACCTCTCTCTTTGCAAGGGGTCAATTAATTTGGATAGATATTGGAGAATAGATTAGGGAAACGTTTTGGCACTCGGCAGCAAAATTCGTGACCTTTCCCACCGCAACAGCCACGCGTCGATCAAGACCTCGTTGGTGACCACCAAGAATCACAGTCGTTTACATTAGAAAAACTCTTATGCTATAGTATCAACGTTATATCTTTAATAATATCAGGATAGTTTGTATATGTTTACAAACAATTTATAACCAATGTATCAAATATTTGTAAACTTTCATCTCACACTGAACTTAGTATCCCAGATCATATTACATATATCAACAAAATATCAAAATTGCGCACTTGTTCACTAAAGCTCACAGTTGGGCATTGTGTTCCTTATTTTGTTCGACAAGATAGGAGTACTGTAGAAACTAGAATCTATACTCGCTAGCATGTGGAGAAAAGCTGAGTTATGCATGAATCATGATGATGCTCATAGGAGCCTACCTCCAGCTTACAACTACTTCCATAATGATGCTTGAAGAAGCTTATTACAACATTGTTCTAATGCCCGTCCCTTACTCTTGCAATCTCCCTTCTGTTGGAAATTTTATGTGGATCAAAACCTTCCAAATCCATGCTTTGTGTAGGTGACGGTTTTGAAAGGATATGACTTTTAAATTTAAAGCAAAAAGACATGTCCACTAATTCAAAACCAATTGATGTTTGTTTATGAAGAGAGGTGTCCATTAAATTCAAATAATGATTTTCCTTTCCGTGGAAATTCCAAGAAGTGTATGGGAAACAAAGCAATGTCTCATGAAGAGACATGTCCTTTCATCCCAATATATATCCATTTCCATTGGGTTTCTTACAAACCGTCACCTGTCACGGTGGTTAAGGGTGAAGCATTGTATTGCTTCAGAAGATGTGCTTGAGCACTATAAATAGAATGGGTCGGATGTGGGATGGCATACACCAAAAACTTGTTCTCTTCTTCCTAGTTAACTTCTAAGTATGCTTTAGGTTCTTGAGCCTAGAACCAAAAGTGGTGATAGTTTTATCCTATGAAGAAATTTCATGTAACCCAAGGCTTTGTATAGAGGGTGGAAATATTCTTTACAGAAAGTGAACGTAGTTCACGACTCTATCATAATCCTAGTCACCCGATCTCGGGCTATCGTACGTGTACCCTCATCCCAAAAGTTCCAACACCTTTGCCGTACAGTTTTCCATGTCAGTGTTAGTTTGTATTTTTAGTTGATAATCTGCCATTAAGGCATTTTATACAGATCCCAGCAGTTATAGTGAAATGGATTGATTGATTTTTTCATCTTCATATTCCTCCTCGGCAGTGGGCACTATGTTCGCAATCCATTTAAGTGTAACCACTAATTAACCAAAAATCGAAACCTGACCTTCAGCTAAACTCCCTTTCTTAAACTGACTTTTCTTCTGGGCCCAGTCGCCCTAAATATACTCGCTCCATCTCGTACCGAGCAACTTGCCAATTCCTCCATAAACCCTGCTCTTGAAGAAAACTGGGGAATCTATGTTATCCAAAAAATTTGATCAAGAAGAAATTTGATTTTATTTGTTACTACTAAATGATTTGATGGATTGGTTGTGTGTTGGATTCATGGATCAAAGTGAAAGCTCAACTTTTATGAAAATTTTAGGAACTAAATATCATCATAATTTTTTTTGTACCACTGTGTAATTTTTTATAACATTTTTCATTAAAGAAATGAATTTATATAACAAATTGTAGAATATAAAATATATAGGTATCGAACTGTAATTTCTCAACAATTCATAAATACATCAATCCATTTAGATTAGTTGGATTTTTAGTGGTTGGGTAATGAGTTGAACTGGTGGATTGGATTGGATTCAAATTGTCATACCCTGCTCTCAAAGAAAAGTGGCAAAATTTATGTTATCAGAAAATTTTGATCAAGAATAAATTTATTTATATTTATTACTATGGATTAGAAGTATTAAATGGATTGGATTGGTGAATTCGAGAATTCGATTAAATAGATTGATGAATTGGATTCGTGTTGGATTCATGGATCCAAATCACATCAAACCTTTATGACAAAATTTAGGAACAGAAATATCATCATAAAAATTTTAGGTACCAATTTTTTTTTTTTTTTATGAATGGGCGAGCTTAAGTCTCTATCTATCGTTACAATTTCTTCAGACAAACTACAATGGTCTGCAATGAACATCAACCCCAAATTTCGCATGACCATCCATCTTGGCATGTAAAATCTTCTTCATACTATCCACTAACTCCTCATATTCCAACTCTTACCTCCATACAACCTCATGCACCGCTCCCGCCATACCTCACTAACTATCAAACACCATAGGATCCTTCCCACATAACAATGTTTTAATTTCCTCACAACCTCTATTCCAGAATGCCAATAAGCACAGAACTGGATATGCCAATTGCCAAGATCGCCATACTATGTTCCAAACCTGCTTCACATAGGCACAAGAGATGAAGATGTGGTCTCTTTTCTCCACCTCAAGCAAGCATAGGGGATAGCGATCACGAATATTATTATTCCACTTTTTAAACTTGTCTAACGCCATTATTCTGAATCGCTAAACGTTGCCCTTAAAATTGCTAAACGTCGCCCAAACCTAAATGTAAAATTTCCTATATACCTTTAATGAAAATTTCAAAATTGAAACAACCAAACAACCCTTCCAAGACCAACCCTTCCTTCCCCGCGGGAGTTTCCTTCCCCTCTACAACTTCCGGCAGCGCCGGGCAACGCCCCTTTGCAACTTCCTTCACCGCCGACCAACCCCTCCCCCTCTGCAACTTCCGCCTCCAACTCCTTCCCGCCGGCGCCCAGCACATAGAACACTCTCGCTGTAGTTGCTCCTCGCTCCCGTCGTTGCCGCAAGCCACTCTCGTCGTCATCGTCCGTTAGTCCCGTCGTTGCTGCCGCTCTTCCACGCACCAGTCCTCGCCAAAGAAGAAGGTAACGCCTGACAACCCTCGACCGCAGTTAAACCGTGGTTAGTCCGCTGGTCAACCGCGGTCAACAAGCGCTTTGTCCGACGCTCAACCGCGGTCAACGTACGGTTTGTCGGACAGTTAACTGCAGTTGACCGTCGAAACAACCGCTCGTTGACCGCGGTTGATTTTTTTATATATTATGTTTTGTAATATTAACTATTCTGTTTTGTAAATAATTATTTAAATATATGATGAATTTTTAATTTAATTAGCTAATTACATAAATGCAAATTTGATATTATACTTAATAATAATTTAATTATATAATATTGTCAATAATGATAACAAAATTTAAAACCTTATTAAAATTTATTCGATAAATGTTAATAATGATAAAAAATTAAAGAGCATACGAAAAAAATAAAAAATGTATTTTTATAAGTTTAATAATCAAAATTTCAAATTAATTCGTTTATGTACTTAATTATTAATAATTGTAACTTACTTGATTAATTATTTACTTATATGTAAATAATTATTAATTGTTGCAAGAACATTACATAAATGTTAAAACTATTTGTTTTATGATTTTAATCGCCAAACTCTTAAATTAATTACTTAAAGTACTTAATTATTAATAATTAGAACTTTTTTGAAGATGTCTAGACATGGAATGGGTAAACCGGAAATGATTAAGGCGAGAAATAAGAAGAGGATGGAAGGTCGTGAGTGTAGCCTTACGGCGACTGGTAGGAAGGAAAATGAAGAAAAAAATCCACATAAGTTTAGGAGGAAGAAGTAGAAGGCGGAAGTAGTGCTTCCCGACGGACACCCTACTATGGGGAAGTTGTCTCTTAGTCGAGGTACTACTAATACTCCTACACCATAGGATGCACCGACTTGGCAGGCTAATTGGAGTGATTCCATTGATGAGGAGGAGGATGATGATGATGACAGTGATGCTGGTGATGCTGGGGTTGGGGATGCCCCACCTCAACCAGATTTAAGCGTGGGGAAGACCGCGCAGGGCGGGATATCTTCTACTGCCTCCTCACACTTTCATGGGCCCTATGGACGTTATGCGACCATACCTAGTAGCGAGGAAGGCAGAGATGAAAATAGGAAGAGGAAGACCACGAGGAAAGAGATGTCGTGGTTACTTACATCGGAGTTTGAAATGTGTTCAGGCGGACCAGTGATTCCCGATGTGATCCCTAGCTTTGGTGGTCACGTAGGCCTTGTACTGTGGACTTCCCCTCAATAGGACCGTGGAGTGTTGGGCTGCTTCCATAGGCCAAAAGCTCAGGAGTTTTTGAGGCGATATAAGTTGAGTGTAGAGGGTTCAAAGGAGATGGTTTGAGCTACAAGATTGTCTCACTTGACAGGGTGTATGATGCATCATTTAGACATGGCTCTACTGTCGGCATTTGTGGAGAGGTGGCAGCCGAACACAAACACCTTCCACATGCCATTTGGGGAATGTCGATCCTTCTACATGATGTGCATCACATTCTTCGTATTCTCGTTGATGGAGAGCTGATGTGAGATGAGGCTTTGCCAGATATTCTTAAGTCAGACATGGGTGGTCTAGTTGACTTTCGGTGGATGCTCTTGTTGGTGGTAAGTGGAAGTCTAAGTGGTATGATAATGGTGGTATGCATGGAGAGGGATTGTTGGTGCGTGAGGGAGAGCTGAAGATTAAGGAGATGGAGATGCAGTGTTACCTATTTCTGTTTCTGGGATCCACACTTTTTGTGGATAAGAGTCGCGATCGCTTTCGTCACGATCAACTTGTTTCTGAAGGACCATCGATAATTGACCGATTACGCTTGGGGAGCTGGTGCACTCGCCTATATCTACAGACAAATGGGGGTGGCCACACGAGCGGATAGTAAGGGTGTTTGTGGTTGTTTGACCCTGCTTCAGACTTGGATATATGAGTACTTTCCTCTATTCCGTCGAGCCAGTTGTCGCAGTCTTCGGATGCACCCCGTGCTTCCTTGTGGTTTCTTCCTGTTTGCCAGGTGGGGATGATGCTAGACAGCGGTTAGTACATTATTGATAGTTGTTGGATGAGCTTTCAACAGAGGATGTGACCTGGACTCCGTATGAACGAGATGTCTACACGAAGATTCGCGCTCCTTGTTCACTAGGGTCCTTCGCTTTTCTGATATTACTGCGGGATACGATCTTGCACGTTGTTTGCGCTAGTTTGGATACCAACGGATTATCCCCCGTGCTATAATGGTACCACATGGCTAGTACCGTTCGGCTACCGGCAGCAATTACACAATCTTCTAGGATTCGTTCGCGAATCAGTTCTGGGATAACTTGGCAGCCCATCGTCTGGATTTGGATTTTGATTCTCACCAGTGCGAGCACCCATCGGAGATTGACGAGGATTACATTGACTTGTATCAAACTAGAACGCACCCACGGATCACCCACCCCAGCGGCCACTACTAGTTCATCAGGTTAGTTATGACCTTTCTCATATTTTTTCAATAATAAAGGACATTTGTTATTTCATCCTAACATTATTTTCTATTTACAGTTGAGAGAGCAGATTGTGGATTGCTTAGGTCCCGTGTTGCAGACAAGGGACCGGAGTAAGTTTAAGGAGGATGGTTGTAACTTGTAAGTACTACAATATGAGAGCTGTGGTTCACTAGTTGTATGACCAGTTGGTAGGCTCGCCACCTCAGTAGATGTTTATCACTTTCGCTTGTGCTTTATTTGTCATCGTTTTTAGTTGAATTGAGACTATTGTGTTTTTATTTGTCATCGTTTTTAGTTGAACCAAAACGATTGTGTATTTATTTGTCATTGTTTGTAGTTGAACCGAGACAATTGTGTTTTGTTTCAGAAGATGGTCTCCATGTTTACTTTCGTTACATTCAATACATTGCTAAAATAGTTAATCAACGTGGTAGCTTACTAAATGTTTCAATAATAGTAAGGGTCATACAATTAGTAAATATACTTCTAATCGTCATCCATGTGGGTTCAAACTATCATAAAGTTCACACTCATGTAAGAAAAATTGATCCCACCCATTGACACTAGGATCATGGAAAAATAGGCCAAAGTCCATTAAACGGAGGCATGGGGACTTGACCATGTCGAAAGTCAAGTCGCACCTAATGATTCCCCGTAAAATGTAGTGATAAGATCCCACGCGGTCTTGTTACTCCTGGTGGGGCCATCAGAGGTAGCATGGTATAACGACCGCCTTGACTGTATACACCGATAGCTCATGAATGCAAGGTGGTGAAGACGAAGAGTTCCGCATTATCCATCCAGTTGGGACGCCCACAACCACTTGTTGATGCCCACCTGCGACGTCGAAGGCAATTTTCTATTTCATCTTATATTCCATCATAGTAGTCTCTATAAAGCTCAGGACGGGCTTCAAGCTCCTCTACAATAGCACGTTTCATCTGTGACCAATTCCCTTGGTCCTCGGTAACTGCTTGTGATAAAGCTCGAAATCCACAATGTCCATCTGAAATAGGGTCGTGCCAACCACGAACTAGTCGTTGCACGTAGGATTCCAAACAATGTATTCATGGGTAATTCTTTCAACTAGTATTGGGAATCCGAGCAACCCTCCACGGGGCACCATCTAGCCAAAGAACATAACACAATAAATTAATACAAGATTTATACAATATGTTTACACGAAATTAGAAATATTATTTCTAACCTGTATCATTATGGATATCCGGCTCCATCCCATTCTCGAAGTTGGTTTGTGCCTTCACATTCTGGGCACCATCTAGCCAAAGAACATAACACAATAAATTAATACAAGAGTCATAAAATATGTTTACACGAAATTAGGAATATTATTAATAATATGTATCATTATGGATATCCGGCTCCGTCCCATTCTCGAAGTTGGTTTGTGCATTCACATTTGGGGCACCATCTAGCCAAAGAACATAACACAATAAATTAATACAAGGGTTATACAATATGTTTACACGAAATTATGAATATTATTTCTAACCTGTATCATTATAGATATCCGGTTTCGTCCCATTCTTGAAGTTGGTGTGTGCATTCCCAATCGGGGCACCACCTATTTCATTTCAAAAAAATAGATTAGTTGTACATCATATTGAGGACAATTAAACACAATTTATACAAAAAGTAAAACTACCTGTGTTTTGGTCATTGTCTTGTGTTGTGGTCGGAAGTCTTGAACTTCTCCTCCCTCGTCTCCTCTCCACATGCTCGAAGTGAGATAGGTTTCGAGTGGTGGAAGTCATTGGCGACCGGAGCGGGCTGTCCTCCATGCGGTTCATCAATGCCATCTTTTCCAGGATGAAGATGGCTCTAGAGTAGGCCAATTGCATCTCGAATGGTCTGGTCACCTCTATCAAGAACCTCCTGTACTAGACCTTGGAAGACACCATGGTGGTAATCACTATGGTCATCCCACTTCGGTCGGGTATGAGGTTCATCATAGTTGATAACGGTCCAGAAAGGCAACACCTCATACAAGGAAAAATCCTGATTTCCACGTCGTGCTAACTTAATGGAACATCTACATAGGAGACCATAGGTAGGAGGAAATGTACATGTACAAGGTAACCCTTCCATTGCTACCTCGAAGAACATCAACCTCGGAGCTTCTAGAGTGACTTTCGTATTCAACTCTCGAAATGGTTTTCCAACCGCTTGGACCAGCTTCTTTTGTCGAGAATCCTCTAGAAGCTTCCTAATTTGAAGGTGTTGAGCCTCAATTCTTCTTGAATACCTACAAACAATGAAGAACAATTAGGAGACTACTAAAAGTTCTTAAAGAGGCATCAATGAAGATTTACTAGGAAACTAACCGTGTCGACTGCACTAGTAGATGATTGAAGCCACTTCTTGAAGGAGGAATGAGCAGATTCAATCCTATTTGAGCTTGTGTTACCCAAGTGCTGCACTTAATTGGTATAAAATTTAGCCCACAAGTGCCTAACTGCTAACCACTCAGCTGCCAAATACCCCCAAAGTCGCTGGTACTGTACTCCCCAACTACGTCTAAAATTGTCTAAGGCTATATCCATGTATTCCACTGTCAGTGCATATACAACACGTTGCCAAGACGCCATGATATGATCCACCGTTGGTTTGGCTACTTCAATACCATAATGAGTCGTCCTCCGCACCTCCGTTATACACTTTGCTCTTACATTCCTATCTATATGCTAAAGACATAGTATATGAGTTGATGATGGAAACATTACCCCCCACAGTCTCAAGTCAACCAATCCTCCTGCCTTGTCACTGACAAAGACATCTGGAACAATAGGGCCAAAAAGATGTTGCAAATGCGTCAGAAGCCACTGGTACAACTCCTTTGTCTCGTCGTACACTATTGTAGATGCAATGACAAAGTTCAATCCCACTAGTATCATGCCGAAAATCACTCTTCTTTCCTTATATTTTGCAACTCGTTATAAATCTGTTTTCTATTGTGTGTTCCCTGTGCACCTTTTCTCTCATTCACTGCCTTGTGGATATTCCTTGGAGGGGCACTGGCCGATCTTAGTTGTCTGATGTATTGTTTATCATCTGCAGTCAAAATATTCCTTCGCTTTGATCCCTCCTAAAATAGCTCCAACTGATGATTGTGGAAATCCAAATTAGCACCAGGATTCTTTGTATTTGCCACCCTAGGATCAACCAATATCCATCACCGGACCGCTCAAGCTTGATGTGAAACTCGCACCCCAACTTTTCAGTAGCAGTAAGAGGCCTCCTTCCTTACCTTAGTAAGATCAGGTTCCTTCGACTTTTTCTTCTTACCATAGTGCAATATAAGTAATGTCGCCAACTACCTTCACTTTTATTTTTTTTTTGTTCGTTGCCCTCACCAAATAAAACCCCAAACGCTTGGAAATCTCAGTAGCGGCTTCATATGCTTGCAAATCCGTAGTGTATTTCACGCCATTAATGAAATCCGATGTGTAATTATGGCCATCCGGATTGTAACTACCAATATCTTCCAATATTATCAGAATTTATAAGTGATACTCCACAAATTTAAAAAGAACTTAACATTCTCTATGTCGTCAATTTAACGAGTACTCTACAATAAATTTAAAATTTCATAACTACATTTAATTTAACAATCATCATAACTTCACATGCAAAATCTATTATTTATGCAATAAATCTAATCTTAATTTGTAATGCAAAATCTAATCTTAATTTTCTAGATTAAGACCACATCTAATTTAATCCTAATTTAAGGCCAAATCTAATCTTAATTTCAATGCAAAATCCTTCAATTCCAAAAATAATTATGCAAATAAATCTAGAAAATTATATAAATCAAAATCCAACAAATTATCTCAGGGAACAAACCATAAATAATATAAAAAATTAAAAAAATATTAATTTGAACCAAAATTTCCAAAAAATGCTCAACCACGACTCAAATGCGGTTCGACCATGAACCATCCGTAGGTTAGTTGCAGTTCCATCTTGGCCCAACCGTATCTCACTTGCGGTTGGTCCATGGTGTAACCGCAGGTCACTTGTGGTTGCACCATGGTCCAACCGCAGGTCACTTGCGGTTGGTATATGGTGAAACCGCAAGTGACTTGTAGTTGAAACATGGTCGAACCGCATCTGAGCCGCGATTCCCTTTTTTTGTTTTTTTTAGTGAAATTTTTTACCTCGTCAGAGTCATTACTTATGATTCAGACGTCCTGCCGACGATATCGCCTCTAGAATGACGATGATGGATTTTTCTCTCCTTCAATAGTGTTTTTTTTTAGTATAAATGGTGTTTGTTTGCTAAAGGGAAGGTAAGGAAGGTAAGAGGTTAAAAGTGTAACTTTGATTTTTTTTAAGACGACCTTTAACAAGCCAGCATAATAAGCCATACAATAAGAGAGTTCCTTGACATCAAACCTGAATTCCATATGACTATATGAGCTTTGCCCAGATTACTTCTTACTGGCTACTGCCTGGGTCGGATGCTCTCCCTAGGGCTGTCCATTTGGTTTTGGTTTTTTGGTTTTAACCGA